CCAGGACTGCTGTCACCGACTCTCCAGTTAATCGCAAAAAAAAAAAAAAAAACCTTTTTCCACCAAGAATATGCATTTCACCTGCAAGGCCATAAATCAGTTTGGAAGTCTGGCTCGGTTGTAATTAAATGGCACTAATTGTCTCTGCGCCTCTGTGCAGCAGGCTTCTACCACACTCGGCTCTTACTGGTGATGGTTCCTCTTCCACAGGAGGAAGGGTTGCCTGGAGCACTTTTAATAGGTACCAATGTAGGGGGCTCAGGAGGTGGCACGGAGCCTGTGGGCTGGCTGATGGGGCCCCAGCGTTGAAGGGACTTAGCGCACGGATGACTGACAAGATGCTCTTACCGTTGCTGTCAAGTGAACCCCGACTCCTGGCGACCCACGTGCCCGTGGACTGTGCTCCGTGGGGCCCCAATGGCGGATCTTCTGGCATCACACCGCCAGCCCCGTCTTCCCACCGGCCTCGGGGTGGGCTCCAACAGCCAACTTCTCAGTTAGTAGCCCAGCGATTAGCCATCTGTGTTACCCAGGGACTTCTCGAAGGTGCTGTGGGCGCTACAGAGAAGGGTGTGATGCAAAACTGAATTCACCTCACTCATTCATTCTGATTACACTGGGGAGCCCTCAGGCAGGAGACACCCTATAACAAATTTTAACAGCAAATATCCTTGTTTTTAAAACAAGCGGCCATCTTTGCACTCAGAGTGACAATACCTAGCTGGAATTGATTGGCTTGTTTTTCTTTTGGTTTATTAACATGCACGCTTTCTCATTTTTCCTTTAGGGACATGTTTCCTTTTTAACTTAATTCATGTAAGTTTTTTTTTTTTTTTTTTTTCCCAGGTGGGTTGACTTAAAGAACACTGGCTTACGGGTCAGCCTAGTAAGTTCACAGACATAAACAGGTGTATTTGAAGTCATTCATTCGCTGACTTGCTGGAACAAATCATGCATTCCTGCCTCCAGCCGGACAGGCCCTGGGTGTTGGTGAACTGAGGAACGGACTCCCCGGAACGAGGATAAGCAGCCAGGCTAGCCCTGCGTGAGCGACGGTGGAGGGAACTCCTGGCCTTCCAATTCATTTCCCCAGCAGCCAAGCCTGCGCTCTGCTTCACTTCAGGAGCCCGGGCAGCCCCCACTTGCCGTGCCCCATGTGTGCAGAGTAGGGCTGTACTCCGCAGGGCTGTCGGGGCCCGGTGTTTGGCAGTGGGCCACCAGGCCTTTCTTCCAAGGCACCTCTGGGTGATGTCACTCCCAGTTGGGTGATGTCACTCCCAGTTGGGTGATGACACTCCCAGTGGGTGATGACGCTCCCAGTTGGGTGGTGACACTCCCAGTTGGGTGATGTCACTCCCAGTTGGGTGATGCCACTCCCAGTTGGGAGATGACTCTCCCAGTTGGGTGATGTCACTC